TAGTAGTAGTAGTAGTAGTAGTAGTAGTAGTAGTAGTAGTAGTCTAGTGGTAGTAGGACTCATAGGAGTTCGAGTAGATCTGGTAGTAGTTGTAAGAGTAGTGCTAGTTGTACTAGTACGAGATGATGTAGTCAAACGAGTAGTAGTAGTAGTAGTAGTAGTAGTAGTAGTAGTAGTAGTAGTAGTAGTAGTAATAGTAGTAGTAGTAGTAGTAGTAGTAGTAGTAGTAGTAGTAGTAGTAGTAGTAGTAGTAGTAGTAGTAGTAGTAGTAAACATAGTAGTAATCGTAGGAGAAGAAGTAGCAGTATATGTATTTTGGAAGCCGCTCGGAGGCCTCTTGGGGCGTCTTCGGCGCCCCTTGGGGCCTCTTGGGGACCTCTTGGGGGTATCTTCGGGGCCTCGCGGAGGCCTCGTGGTGCCTCCTGGGGGCCTCCTGTGGGCCATCTGGGGACCTCTTGGGGCCATCTGGTGGACCTCTGGGGGCCCTCTTGGGGGGCTTGTATGAGCGCTGCCCCTCCTCCTGGTGTGACTCGTTCGGGCTCCACGTGGTGTGAGTCGTTCGAGGCCCGCGTCGTGGTGTGAGTCGTTCGGAGTCGCGGGCGCGTGGTCGTCCTGGTATGAGTCGTTCGGGCCCCTCCTTGTGGTGTGAGTCGTTCGGGCTCTTCGTGGTGTGAGTCGTTCGGGCCCCTCGTCCTGGTGTGAGTCGTTCGGGCTCCTCGTGGGGCCTCTTGGGAGCCTCTTGGGGGCCTCTTGGGGCCTCTTGGGCGCCTCTTGGGAGCCTCTTGGGGGCCTCTTGGGAGCCTCTTGGGGGCTCTGGGGGCCTCGTGGGAGCCTCTTGGGGGCCTGTTGGGAGCCTCTGGGGGCCTCTTGGGGGCCTCTTGGGAGCCTCTTGGAGGCCTCTTGGGAGCCTTCTGGGGGCATCTTGGGGCCTCTTGGGGGCTTCTTGCGACCTCCTCAGAAGCGCAAGTGAGCGCTACCCCTTGAGAAGGACAAAATGAGCCCAAAACCTCCGTAAACTCAATGATGTTGAGAACAAGGAAGAGGAGCGCTGCCCCCTTCAGAAGGCCAACATGGGGCCAAAACCGCAGTAAAATCAATGATTTTGGCTTCACAGAAGAGGAGAGGGTTTTTTCTCCATCCCCCCGTCGGGGACAGAATCCTCGTGAGGGGCGTCGTTTTTTTTGCCCTCCCAGGAGTCGAAAAAGACCCCCCTGACCACCCGCGGGACTCCCTCTCCAGGCCCAGGGGGAGGGGGTAGGGGGAGGGGTAAACCCCTCCCCGAAGGGGAAGAAGGGGGGCTGAGGACAGAGAGAGCTCCCTAAACCACTCACGCCCAAAGGGCTGGTGGGATTAGCGCTGCCCCTCGGGAGCCTCTTGGGGCCGACTTGGGTCGCTCTTGGGGCGCTCTTGAAGCGCTTTTGGGCGCTTTTGGGGCCGTCTTGGGACTCTCTTGAGCCTCTCTTGGGCCCTCTGTGCCCATCTTGGAGCCATCTTCAGGCCTCGGATGGCCATCGGAAACGAAATGACGAGAAAGCAACACACATTGATTTTCCTTAGGTGTTGTAAGTATGTTGGCTTCTTCGGGGCCTCGTGGGGGCCATCTTGAGGCATCTTGGGATATCTTGAGCCATCTTGGAGTCATCTTGGGCTCTCCCAGGCGCTCTCGGAGCCGTCTTGATCAGTGGTCCCCCCCAGGAGGCCAACATGTGGCCAAAACCTTAGTAACATCAGTGATTTTGCAATTCTCGCCGAGGCTTCTTGGGACGTCTTGGGTGCCTCTGGGGGGCCTCTTGGGGTCTCTTGGGGGCCTCTTGTGGGCCTCTTGGGGGCCTCTTGGGGGCCTCTTGGGGTCTCCTGGGCACCTCTTGGCGCTCTGTTGGAGCGCCCTTGGGAGCCTTCCTGGAGGACATCGATCAAACAATACAAGAGGCCAAAATGGGGCCAAAGCCTTAGTAGAACCAATGATTTTGGCTTCCTCGCCGAGGCCTTTTTGGACGCCCTGACACCTCGCGACCGGCCCCGTCCAGGTCCAGGGGAGGGGGTAGGGGGAGGGGTCGAGCTACCCACCCACCCGCAAGCCGTCTAGCTCACCCGAGTCTGAGCACGTTCAGTGGTCGTCTTTGAATGGACAGCTACTGGGAACCAAAGCCGACCCCGGGTGCGCGACGCTTGGGCGAGGTGCGCCACGCGTGCCAGGGGCGCCACGCGCGCCAGGCACCCCTGGGGCCCGAGCGTGCCCGGCACGCCTGGTGCGCCAGATGCGCCACATGCTCCGAGGGGGAGGAGGGAGGAGAAGTCGGAGGAGGCGGAGGACGCGGAAGAGGCGGAGGAGGCGGAGGAGGAAAAGGAGGAGGAGCAGGAGGAAGAGGGGGAGGAGGAGGAGGAGGTGGAGGAGGAGGTGGAGGTGGTGGTGGAGGTGGAGGTGGTGGAGGAGCAGGAGCAGGAGGCGGAGGGGGCGCAGGGGGAGGAGGGAGTGATGGAGGGAGCGTCGAGGGATGGA